GCGCAAAGTGAGGCAATAAGCCACACAACTAAAACTCATCTGCCTCCGAGTCCATTAGTAACAACTTGGGAAACAATCATTACAGTTGGTTAATACCATTATTTGGAGTAGAATGGTTTGATAAAACAAATGAAAACATAATTTGATACATTATTTTTTCCAAAATAAAAAAGCATAAACACTATGTTTGGACATCAGTTCTATATATATTTACTTAAAAGAGGGTGAAACCTCACTTAAGTAATAATTATCATGGAATCAGAGAGAGCTTTATGTTACTTCTACCCAAAATTAAAATGCTGACTTTTTTTTTTTTATAAAGATAAGCAATAAAGGGCGCCTGGGTGGCTCAGTCAGTTGGGCGTCCAACTTCGGGTCAGGTCATGATCTCATAGTTGGTGGGTTCAAGCCTCACATCGGGCTCTGTGCTGATAGCTCAGACCTGGACCCTGCTTCAAATTCTGTGTCTCCTCCTCTCTCTGCCCCTCCCATGCTCATGCTCTGTCTCGCTCTCTCAATTATAAATGTTAAAAAAAAATTTTTTTTAAGATAGGCAATAAAACTTATAAGTTTCAAATCTTCCTAGATAAATACACCATCCCTCTATGAATAACCTAATGTTTTAAAATATATTTCATTCATGTATGGATTAAAGCAGACAGTACTCTTTGTTTTTAATTACCAGATATGAGTAATAACCTCCTAAAGTCTTGAAAACAGCATGTAACCGTTTTCTCAACTAGTAAGATACTATATTAAATTAAAAAGAACATAGTAAAAAATAGTGGTTACCTCTAATGGAGGAGTTGTATGGAAGCATAAGGGAACTAAGATCTACATTTCAATCTGAGTGGTAACAACACTAGTATACTATATATACTGTTTGTATGTTATGCCTTAATATAAAAGTTAAAAACAAAACAAAAACAGAAAGCAAGGGGGCACCTGGGTGGCTCAGTAGGTTAAGCCTCAGACTTGGTTTCAGCTTAAGTCATGATCTCAAAGTTTCAGGAGTTTGAGCCCTCCCTACCACCTCACCCTGCCCCACCCCGCCCCACCCCTCATTAGGCTCTAGGCTGGTAGCATGGAGCCTGCTTGGGATTCTTGGTCTCCCTCTCTCTCTCTCTCAGGATAAATAAACTATTAAAAAAAGAAACACAAGCAAACAAGGAAATACAAGTCAACTCTTATGGTACCTGATCCTAACTGCTCTGTAGAGCCACTACTGCCAGTCCCTTCAAAGAAGGGCAAAACACACAGCTAGCTCCTTTCATTTCTACAATTAGAAAGGTAGAAAGGCCAAGTAGACCCTATAGTAACAGAGTTCCAAAAGGCTCCCTTAGCAATGTTCATACATTTTTGTACAACCGGAGGCCTTATCTCCACATGAATGGAATGATTTACTGAATGCCTGTATTCAGAGTTGGCTTACTAATTGAGAGGACAGAAAACATAGTGACTCAAAGAGTATGAACCAAAAAAAAAAAAAAAAAAAAAAAAAAAAAAAAAAAAAAAAAAAAAAAAAAAAAATTAAGAAGTTCACTATTCAAGTAACTTAAATATTTCTGTCAACAAAACCCTCAATTACTGGTTTACTGGATTTCAAAAAATGCAATAATTTTGACTGCTCCTTTCTTAGTCCCTGATGTCCAAACTGTCAAAAGGCCTTATTCCATTTCCTAGCACTGCCCATATTCTTCTCTATTTCCACTGCAATCTCCCTGGCATAAGCCTTTTTTATTTCTTGCTGGGCTGTTATAAAGTTTTCTTAATTCCAGTATATTTCTCTTACAGTACTTATATTCTATATTTTGTACTAGAGTTTTTTCTATATACCTTATCTGCCCTGTACCATCTTTCCCGAGGGAATCTTGTTTACCTAGTACCTTCAGTTATCAGCTGCAAAGACAGACCTGAAAGGTTTAACTGCTTTATTATGAACAGAATGACCTGACTAGTTAAGATGAACAAAAGCTTCACTTTAAAGCTGATTTGTCAAAAATAAAACTCTCAACCAAAGGAAAGCAAATTTCCCTAAATAAAAATTTAGGCTAAAATTTCAGAAAAATTATAACAAAAAAAGATAACTAGAAAAGAGACTGTATGGAATGTGGCACTTGGAGGAAAGGGGGAAAAGAACTGAGGAAATACTCTATCAGGGAGAAGATATTTAATATCTAAGGACTGGGGAAAGGAGTGGGTCTCTGGATATATACATGCACACACAGTTGAAAATAAATTTCATATAGAACCTTTGCAACCACTGTCATCACCTTGCCACAAATATTGTTGTGTGTCATTGTTCAGTATTTGTCAACTTGGCCGATTTCAATGGTAACTGAAATTAAAATTTAAAGTTTTGTTCAACAGGCACACCTAGGTGGCTCACTCAGTTGAATGTCTGACTCTTGATTTCACCTCAGGTTATGATCCCAACATTGAGAGATCAAGCCGTAGGTGGGCTCCTTGCTGAGCGTGGAGCCTGCTTAAGATTCTCTCTCTTTCTCTCTCTCGCTCTCCTTCCATCTCTCTTTCTCTCTCTCTCTCTCGATCTCCCTCCCTCCATCCCTCCCTCTCTCTCTGTCTCTCTCCCCCTCTCACACTCTCACTCTCTAAAATAAAAATAAAGTTTTGTTCAACAGAAAAACAGGAAGTGGGGCTATTACTGACAATAGAATTCTCTCCCCAGCAATGAAGAATATCTTCATTCTGTGGAAAATTTGCTTTTGTGATTATCAAAAGAGAGGAACCAATATTCATTGACCAGCTACTGTATGCTAAGCATTATCTAAAAATTATCTCTTAACCCATAAAACCATCTTATGAGATAGATAATATTGTTCTCATTTCATAGAACTGAAGCACTAAGAGTAAGCCCATGTTTCCCTGTTCCTACACCCGATGACTCAAACGGAGGTCTATTTAATTCCAAGGCCAAGAACACCTCACTAACAATGCACATTCTTAGTAATACAGTGATGATATTATAATTTCCAGGTTAAATTTTCTAACCATTTGCAATGAAACGGGAAAATGCACTCAAGTTAACTATACTTCTGATTTTATAAATTACACTCATTTGCAGGCAGGAATATTGTTGAGACCCACAGTTGCTTAATGTTCCCACTCAATTCAACGAATATATATGTTTAGCACCTACTATCTAACAGATGCTACCCTGGGTGATGGGAAAAACTATTGACCCAGTAAAGAGAAACCCTTAGTTTGCTCTCAACTGTCACAGGCTAGTGACAATGTAAGGGACCAAAGAGACAGGGACTCATCAGTCTTGCTCAGGTTGGTATTTCTAGATCTTATCCAATAGATAAGCACATAGCAGGTACTCAAATATTTGTTGAATGAAGGGAAATTAACATTCCTTGAGTATTTAGTATGTTCAAGACATATTTGTAGACAATCTATGTTCTATCACGTTGCTGGACTCCTAAGGACAAGGAGGTTAAGTTCCACTATACCCATTTAACAGATGAGGCTGACAGTGAAGCTCAGATTCACTCACTCAGGATTTAGAGACTGACCCCAAAGCCCAGGCTCTCCCCACAGCATATTGCATTTGACAAAGCTTTTAATTTTGTACTTATTGTCTCAGTTTAATTTTTGAAAGGTCATCAACTTGTTAAGTATGCATCTTAGGCTACTTTGCAGTTTGGTTACTTCAAAATACTTTCAAAACTGAAAATGCTAATAAAACCTGATTTTTAAATTAAAATTTCCTTTAAAATTAGTAAGAAAATGCAAAAAATTAAGATACAGCAGGAAAAGAATCAGAATTCTGAAGCAACCTATCCTCAGGGCTTTTGGAGAAATGAACATCTCTAGGAAATCAACAGGAATGAGAACTCCACTCAGTCAAGAGAAAGATTCATCTACACTTGTGAAAAAACACTGCATTAGAAACTACAAGATTAAATGTATCTTCCTTCCTTGTAACCCTTAAAGTGCTGGCGAGACCCTTTCAGCAGTCACTAGATCACAATTTGTCAAACAAGCCAAGCCAAAATCTATGTTAGTACACACCAGAATAAATGTCTTCAATTGCTGTAATTCTAAAAACACATTTTTGAAATTTTTCAATACCAAAATAAAATTTAAAAAATACATATGATCTAGTACAGTACGGGACAGCCTCAAATTAAGTTGGTAACTCTCAAGTTGGTTAAGGAATATCACAAGACTGCAAAAATAAAATTTACCAGAACTCACATGTGAAAAACCAAAGAGAAAGGGAACTAGAAGTGGAACGTGGGAGTGGGTTGTACAGTGGAGCGCTGAAGGTACCATCTCTGCCACTTAAAGGCCCTCAAATATGTGACACCTGAACTCTTAACGAGGAGGGCTGATAGAGTTAAGGTCTCCTGAATGACTCAAAAGGTAGGAGTTTCATGACTAAAATGCTTTCACTTATGGTCACCCACCTGAAACTGGCTGATGAAAAAAAAAATCATACCCACTGTACAGATGAGAAAAACAAGAGCATTTTCAGGTTACACAACCCAACGCCATGCAAACGGCGCTCAGAGAAACGCTCTAAATCGCTAGAAGTGGGTGCAGGGGTAGGCTGGGATTTGGATTTTGGAAAAATCTGGGAAGGAGCAAGGCCTGCAGAAGAAGGGCAGGAAGGACCTGCGGGGGCCCATTCGGAGACTCGAGGGCTTCCGCGCCGGCGTCCCGCAGGCGTGCCTTCCACGCGTGAGCGCGGCATGGTGAGGGCTGCACGCCCAGGGCCTGCTCCCAGTCGCAGTTCCTTCACCCCAGAGGTCACCCCGACCCGGAAACAGTACCCCAGAGTGGCAGTCGGCTGTAGAGGGGAGAAACCGGGTGGAGGGGCGAAAAAGAAGGTGGGAGGGCAGGAAGTGCGGGACGAAGAAGAAGGCTGACCAGGGAAAGGCAGAAGACCCCCCTCCCAGCCCCAGGTTGGGATCGGGGGGCAGTGGCGGAGGGAAGCCCCTCGCGGGCACGCGCGAGCCGCACACACTCACCTGCCCCTCCCCCTCCCCGCCCGCCCGGCGGAGGCTCCGAGCTGCCGCGGGCCGCGCGCGCACACACAAGGCGCGCGCACGCGCGCTGCCGGTCGCTTCCCCGAGCTCGCGCTCCGCCCGTTCAGTCCCAGCCCCGCTCATTCAAAGCCGGGCGCGCGCTCCGTCGCAGCCGCCGTTGCCGCCGCGCAGCTGCCATGGCCGCCCCCTCCTCGGGAAACACTCCCCCGGCCCCTCCCACTTCGCCCTCCTGGAAGGCGGTTCTCGGTTGTCTCCGGACCCTCACTTCCGCACCCCGCCCAGGTCCTGTCTGGCCCAATAGACAAGAGACTGCGGGTCCGGCGACCGGGCTAAGCCAATGAGCGCCGGGGGGGGGCGGGGAGAGCGGTGGCCGGCGTGGCTGTGGCAGAGGCTAGGTTACGGGTAGGTTTTCTGTGTCTGTTGCTGGCAGTACGGACTGTTCCGTCTCAGAACGACTGGGTTCCTTCCGTTTTGCCCTACTTTCTGTGCAGAGTTCCTCCGCTCCAACCAAGCCCCTTTTTCGTTCGACCTACAGAATCCCCCTACCAAATGGGATCAAGGGAGAGCAGTATTTAGATTGCAAAATGGGGGAATTGCGGCTGTCTCAGGGTAATTTGGCTGTCGGTAAGCGAGGTCTCAATCATTCCTCCACTTTAAGGGTGCGAAACATTTAGTTTAATTCAGGACTTGGCCTCCTCCAAGTTATTGAATTTCCTTTAATTAGGAGTTAAAAAGTGGCACTTAACCTTGTTCCTGCATTTCTTCGTCGCTTGCAGCGCAGGCTAGCCATTCCGCCAAACTAAGATTTTCTTTCTTTCTATGGTTCTCTCTTTCAAGTCCGTTTTTGTCCTGTATGCTATTAAAAGGCCAGGATTCTTTGCTTGTTGTGGGCGAGGGGCCGTCAGAAAACTATCTGCTCCACTGTCGCAAAGCAATAGTTTATATGGTCAGAGGCTGAAAGTTCGTGTTTTGTTTTGGTTTTTTATCTCTTTTTTACTACAGTCATTTAAGTCACCTAACCAGCACTCACCTACCCAGTTACTTTGTAAGTACCCTTCCCACTTCAATCCGTACCACATTTCTTGTAATTTAACTTGTTTATCCCCAAGAGATGAACTGTATGTTTATAACTTTTGCTCTAGAATGATTCTATGTAACTTTGGATACATTATTTCACAGTTTCCTCATCAGTAACATGACCATAATGGGGTGTCTCACCACTGGATGGGAGCCCCCAAATGTGGAGACAGGATCAGATGGACAATGGCCCTGGAGGTGAAAAAATGTGTATGAGGCAGAACAAAGGAGATAGAACTTTTTCGAAGGGGAGCCAGGGGACAACACAGCACAGCAGAGGAGAGGCAGAGGGAGAGAAATTTTTAAGCAGCCTCCAAGCCCAGCATGGAGTCTGACATGGGGTTCCATCCCAGGACCCTGAGATCATAACCTGAGCCAAAGTCAAGAGGCAGATGCTCAACCAACTGAGCCTCTCACGTGTCCCTGGGACTGTTTTTAAAGGGGGGAAGATAAGGAGGTATGGTGAAGTACTGAATTCTCCCTTTTTTGGTAATTGTGCCTACTTGTAAGTAGCCCATTGGTCAGTTAGGGCCTATGGATATTTTGAGGTGGAACCCCTGATGGGCCTGTCTGTATTCAGCCAGGGGGTCTCTGTGGGCCCTTTTTATACTCCATTGCTCAAGCCTGTTTGCTTGAAAGCAGCCTGTGCACATAATAGTGCCTACTTCATAGGATGGCTAACCGGTTCAAAGCTCTTTAGGGCAGAGCCTGGCACACGGCAAGCATACATAGACAATAGCTATTACTGCAGCTGCTGCTGTTATACTACTAGTACACTATTTCATCATCATTCCCAGTTACTGTACCTCCGTAAACCCACTAAATCCTCTGCAGTCTTTTAAACACCTATTCTAGGGGCGCCTGGGTGGCGCAGTCGGTTGAGCGTCCGACTTCAGCCAGGTCACGATCTCGCGGTCCGGGAGTTCGAGCCCCGCGTCAGGCTCTGGGCTGATGGCTCAGAGCCTGGAACCTGTTTCTGATTCTGTGTCTCCCTTCTCTCTGCCCCTCCCCCGTTCATGTTCTGTCTCTCTCTGTCCCAAAAATAAATAAACGTTGAAAAAAATGTAAACACCTATTCTAACCTTAATCTCTTCAAATGCCCATATCCTAACAATGCAAAATCCCCCAATTTTTTTTTTGGATTCCCCTAATCAATAATCCAAAATAGCCTACATCTTGACAAAAACATATTTTCAAAATGTTTTTTCTTAGACACATATCTTTGCTTTAAACTATCATATCCCTATGATATTTTTTATTCTTAAGGGTTTTTTAAATTAAATTTGCCATTTCCAAATGAAACAAAAGGTATATATTTTTCTAGAAACAACTAGTTACTGAATATTTCTTTTCCAACACAATAACAAAACTTGTTAAAGATTGCAGACTTGGTTTACTTTGAAAATACCTATGAAATCACATTTAAAGTCATCTTCAGTCGTTGACTAGTAATTCTGTAATTGGGAATCACAGCTGCCAATAACTTGGGATCTTGCATGGGGACCATCCTTTGGGAGTGTGCAATTTGAGGTCCAGTCTTCCGCCCAAGGCTTGGGTGGGGTGAGGATAGGGACCACCAAATGTCAAGTGGGAGGAGGATAAGGCATAGACTTGGTATATGAAAAATTTTCTGAATTGCCTGTCTTCCATGGGTTGCAGTTAATTCTACCTGCTCTGTGTTCAGACACTTTGCCCATTTTGAGGCTTCTGATTTGCCCCTGCCCAATCCCTAATCACCAACTTGATTTATTCACTTTTATCAACTTGCAGCTCACCATTTAATCTCCCAGTTCAAAGCCTGTATGGGCTTTGTTGTTCTGAGTTCTCCATGTGGGTCTGAGTAGTGTTTTGTCAACTGTCCTCCCATCCCTGCCCAGTAGTTAGGGCAGACCTTGCAAACACAGCCCAGTGTTTCCAGATCTCCCCAACCCAATTCTGTCTTTTCACTAAAGGGATGGTTTTTTCCTCAAGCATAATTTTAGACCTGCTGTTCTGACTTGGACTTTAATGGCCTTTTATTAATGAGCAGCTGTTCGTGGTTGAATACAGATTATAAAGTCACATTCATTTCTCAATCAAGCAAAACAAAGCCTTGCGGCTCACAGAGTGACAGTTTTGAATAGATACGTTTGAAAGCAAAGGATTTTCTGATGATAATCTTAATGGATTGTTTTATTGATCTTTCTATTCTAGAGAATCGTGCTTGCTTTCAAAATAATACATTTTAATGTTCTGGAAAATTATAACTTATTTTTTAATATCCATCATCACCATTTAATACATAATATCAGTTGCTTAATAGAGAAAAAGTCTGAAGCAGCTTTCTTATTTTCTGTTAAAGGAAAACTGACTTTCTGTGAAGGATTTAAATATTTTCCATCACAAATATTACTATAGTATATTCAATTGGTAGTAATTTTTATTGCTAAATACAGGAAGACCCAAGGTTTAAGAATAATTTAGGGTTAAACAACTTAACCTTTAGAAGAGGCCTGGATAGGAATAGAGAAAAATAATCCATGTCTTTTATTAGAAATGGATTCAGGGGCACCTGGGTGGCTCAGTTAAGCAATCCACTCTTGATTTTGGCTCAGGTCATGATCTCGTGGTTGTGAGATGGAGCCCTGCATTGGGCTCTGCATTGAGTGTGGAGCCTGATTAATATTTCTCTCTCTCTCTTTCTCTCTCTGCCTCTCCCCCTCTGCCCTTCTCTCCCACTTGTGCTCTCTCTCTAAAAGGAAGGAAGGAAGGAAGGAAGGAAGGAAGGAAGGAAGGAAGGAAGGAAAATGGATTCAAATAAAAAGATACCCTTAACTCTTCACTTCTGTGTTCCAGTAGTGAGGTTCAACAACATAATACCTCTTTGGCTAATGTCCATGTTGTTATTAGAGCTGTAATATAGTTCAGCTATATTATGAGTTAAGTAGATGTGATCTGAGATCTGGAAATGTAAGGCCATTTATTATTTCTAAGGGTAAATGTGTTAAGATGCCAACAACCAATATAAAGTAACAGTTTATAACACAATCTGTTTCATATGTGAATTGAAAACTTAGAAATGAAACAACACTGAATGAACAATGAAAGCCTAATTCATTCAGCTGTAGCATGATGGACATTGTGGCTTCAGCCTTAAACACATTTGAGCTTAGTTTTCTCATCTGCAAAATTAGATTAATAATTCCTGCCTTATAGGTTTAATTTGCAAACTAAGTGGCATAATGTATGTGGAAATGTGTTGGAAACAAAGCAATAAGGTCAATGGAAGTTTATCATCTTCAAGTCTAGCAGAATCTTCTTTCAGCTCACAGCAGGGCATAGTGCTTCCAGGAAAAAGAGGAGTGAATTTTCTGTTACCAGCAGCCAGAAATAGACATGTTTGTTAGTAACATATAAAAAGGGGGAAAGAAGAAGGAATGCTAAATTTTAAAGTTACATTCTGAGTACATTCCTCAACTCCTTTGCCCTTTTGATTTTAAAAACAGAAGGGGAGGGGTGCCTGGGTGGCTCAGTTGGTTAAGCATCTGACTCTTGATTTCAGCTCAGGTCATGATCTCACAGTTCATGGGTTTGAGCCCCACAGTAGGCTCCGGGCTGACAGTACAGGGCCTGTTGGGATTCTCTCTCTCTCCTTCTCTCTCTCTGCCCCTCCCCCACTCGTTCTCGTTCTTTCTCTCTCTCAAAATAAATAAATGAAAACTTAAAAAAAAAATAAAGACAGAATGTGAAAACAGCTGTTACAAGGAAAGCACCTACAACCCTACCTTCTCCATGCTTTTTCTCACTACTTCTGGGATATTGTGCTTCTAATAGTATCTGTTACCAAGTTTTGTCCATTCTTTCTTCTCAGTATCTATCATTTTAGCACACCAGAATTCTCATAATCATCTCTAACTAGTCTTTTGTATTTTATTTTTTTCTTTCCTCTAAATTAGCTTGGACTTTGCTGTATGATTAATATAAATATTTTTAAAGCTTCTTCACAATAAAGGTCCTGTTCAAAATAGAGATTTGCTGTTGTCCATCAATTCAAATTCACTTGGAAGGACATGTGTCT